AATTTCCAGTTTTAAGATCAGTTTCTCAGATCTTTCTTTTCTTCTACAGTCTGGTTCTTTTCTTCACTTTGTCATGGGCCTGTCGCTCAGCTTTCTCAAGTCCATTATTCGGTGTCAGCGTGTCCTTTCTGCGAGAAAAGACTTTTTGTGTGTGGAGGTGTTCAGATGTGCGAAGGTGTTCTTTTGAGAACTTAATCACACAGTCTCTGCTGTTATACCTGAAGACACAACATCCGCGCACATGCATTGGTAAGATGGCAAGAGGAAATTAACGTTTCAGATGCTGGAGATTCCCCTTGATGTGTAAAAATATGCTTTAACCAGCAGCATTGAGTCAGCAGGTTGAATTGCATGTTAACATAAATCGAAAATGACGCATTTATATATTAGGATTTCCAAGAATCTAGATGTGGTAAAGATGAAATTATAAACTTAAGCAAAGCCTTGACCGTAGCTTTTTTCTTGGTACCAGATGACCTGGTCTGAATAACCTTTTTAGCACTTTGGCCCTATCTCATACTGGTCCCTACTCACTGACCCTTAACTATCCAGTGTCACTTCCAATGAAGTCTCACTCGCACCAGTGGAAGGCACCTTTATTGAACGGGGGGAGGCTCGGGGGTATAAATGAGAATGTGATGGCTTTTTCCCTCCAATGGAAAAGGAAAGCAGTCATTGCTATGGCAACACAGTGATGCCCAATGTGCATGGCTGTAGCTCTATGGCGCAGGTTAGCATAAAATCAAACACTTGCCCCTTGTTTAAAAGAAACGTATATGGTCAAATAAAACTATTTCAAAGAGGACCTTTAAATAAGTTTTTTTCATATACCAACTTTTTTCTGTCAGTGTGACGAAGATGCAGCAAACCAGTGGAATTTACATTTGGTGGAATGCGTTACCTACGCCACCAGACCACTGCTATTTAAGGTCTGAACTGTCCGTTCACAGAGGGCAAACAGAGGGTTAGTGCTCACGGTTAGTGTTTAGAGAACGGTTTGGGATTGGGTCCTTGTCTGAGCTACGCTTTAAAGCGGAGGTCTTCAGTAGGGGATCCACGAAGGTACTGCATGGGGGTCGTGAATGTTTTTTTTTTTTTTTTCCCCCTGCAATTTTTCCACTAATTGAAATGTCTAAATACACAGTAACATGAATTCATCACACTGTAGTAAACAGATAAATAGAGGAAGAAGATGTCTTTCAGTCATCAATGCACACATTCAGCGACACAATGGAGCTCTTTCAAGCTGGGCACCGTTTCATTCACAACACCTGTCCCATCAATAAGGAATCAGAATCAGAAATACTTAAATAATCCCAAGGAGAAATTACTTTAGTTTCATTACTCCATATGTAATAGAGTGACTATAGGACCAGTTTGATATAACACAGTTTCATACGGTATATATAATTAGGGGGTCCCCACTCCATCTCGCCATCAGTTTGGGGGTCCTTGGCCTGGAAAACATTTAAGACCCTGTTTTAAAGAATAAAGGCAGTATTAAAGAGAAAATAGGTTTAACCCTAGACATTCAAGGTGTGCCTGACAAAGTACTGGATGACTTCATCCAGTGGAAAACAAGCAAAGGTAGGTGTACTATGCTGTTAAAGCACAGAGCCTCACTCATTTCATTTCATGGTTGCATCAGTTCCATCGAGCTGCTTCGATTAAATGTGTAGTCCTTTAAATTATTAACTCCCAATAGCTCTTAATGTAGCATTAAGGCTGCTACGGTCATGGAAAATGTCCTACTGACAATCCTCAGTCGCAGCAGTGCTTTAGTTCGCATGCTCTTAAAGATTGGCATCACGTGAACATTCCATACATGCATCCAGCAGCATGGTCCAGTCTAATCCAGAGGAGTCTGAGCTAGCCTTGCAAACAGATACTGTGCATGACTCCCGACTGTCAGGGTGACAGGAGACTCGCCAGCAATGTGGGGTCATCACAACATGAACAGTCAGGCACCCGCACATATCTCTTAAGCATTTTCTTCTCTCCTCCTCCTCCTCCTTCCTGCATGCTTACTGGGATCCGCACATGTCCCACCTCCTCCCTGTGAGTGTGGCTTAAGGCCTGTGCTAATAAGTGCTGTGATTTCTGACGGCGGAGCTTGTTTAGGTTTTGGGAAGATTAGCCAGACGAGAAAATAGCTGCTTTCAAATGACTATATTTGGGTTTTTTTCTTCTGTATTTAATACAAGCTGGTGTTTTAGTTGAGTGGGTGAGGGTGTCTCTTTTAGCTGCGGGGATAAGTAGACTGTGCTCCTCTTAGAGCGGTTTAAACTTGTAGCCTGCCTTTCAGAGGACAAATTGTTTCCCAGCTGTTTCTCCTTGAGATAAGAAGACTGTAATCAATCACTTATCTATGATTTATCTTGGCTTTTCTATTCATCCAGGAGAAGTAAATGGTGTAAGTTCTGGAAACTTTTTAATTGAAACACTCCTGATGGCTTAGCTGTGCAGTCCTTGATGACTTAAAACGGGCATACACTCTGCAATATTTTCTGCTATAGCTCAAACTGTACGACGATACCGCTGGATTTAAAAGTTCACAGCTCACGAAATATGTTCTCACACCGTGCGGCCTGACGCTCCGATGCGACCATGCGGCGGCTGAGTGAATTTCAAACATGTTTGATTTTCTCCCGACCTTAAGGTTCTAGATCGGGAGGCCGTCACGTGAGGCTGATTGCCCCTCGTTGCCCATTGTACACTGCATAACTCACGATCAGGCTGAATGTCGGCCCGATCGAAAAATTCTCTCACGACTGGAGAATCGGACCGAAAAGGGCAAAAAATCGTACATAGTATGCCCGGCTTTAGCTATCCAATCAATTTGGTCGGGTGTGGTTTGTAGAGCAAAGCAAAGCGAAACGAGTATTCAAATTTAATTGCAGAGACTCTTCAGTTGAGGCTTCCTTCAAGGAAACGACATGGCTCAACACAAGCTTTGATGAGTCAGTTTTGTATTCCAAATGAACCTAAAAATGGCAAACACTAAGCTAATGCCTCAACAAAGGAAAAAATGTAGAAAAAAACTATTTGCCTGGAGTACTTTCTATGGAAAAAGAAACAAAGCAATTAATGTCAAGGTCTCTTTGTGAGAATAAGACACAGCTAAACACAGAAGCAATTTTAAGACGAAAAAAGCTTCTGTTGGCGAAAAACAATAATGGTAATGTTTCCGTTAATAGTTCCACCTAGGAAATAAATACAGCTTAATACAGAGTCGTGTATCACCAAAAAGAGCACAAAAAGAGTAATGGTGGCAATAATTAAATTTTGGCTCTGTCCAAAAAAGAAAAACGACTGAAGCAAGAGATCAGAGGTAATTTCTATGATAGGAACAAACAGACAACTAAAATATTAATATTAAATATTAAAATATTAATATTACTTACTAAAAGGCAGGAAAAGGTGCAGTAGAAATTGTGCTTTAATCATTCTTTGTCATTTCTTCATTTTACTTCTTCTTGTAGGAATTAAATGGATCCAAATTGGTTAGCCCAATGGGTTGGTTTTAATGCACTGATAAGTGGGTTGAAAATCGACATGTGTAGTGATGCATATTATTTTAAAAAATGTGCTTAAATGCTGATCATCTGTGGGCAAGTAAAAGCCCACAAAGTGTGTGGTTACTGGTGCTGCTTTCTTCTTTGGAAACACTGCTGCGGGGGGTTCTAGAGCAGCCATCGGCACCGTTTGTTTTATCAGTTTGTTCCCTGGAGCCAGGGGCTGTGATGCTGCTATGTCTGCAGGTGGCTTCAGAGGAAAGTGTGGCATCAACAACTGACTCATTGCACAAATGCAACCTGTGGCTGGAAAGATGGAAGGAATCTGACCTTTTCCAATCTATAGAATCTGCTCTAAATGCCATTCCTTCTTGGTTTTTTAGTTATTTCTCCATCAGCTATTGAAGGATGACACAGATATTTGTCTTCCTCTTTCACCTTGATAGATACATATTTAAAGTGTGTGATGTAAAGGAACCCTGTGAACATCGATCGTGCATCATAATCCTTATCTCTCCAACAAAGAAAGATGAAGCGTGTTCTTTTATTAAAGGTGGAAAGGAGACATGGCAACCTGAACTGAACATGATTATGAAAATATTCTTCCATCCACTGAGTTAACAGGTCCAGATTTCCCACTAACACTGAAGAGCCTGACCAAAGTCTTTTGGTTTTAAATAAACAGAGCAGTTGAAATTCACGTTCTTCCCTCTTTTTAAGGATTTAATGTTATGCATTGCAAAAAAATTTAAATCTAAGTAATTTTTTGGCAAAAAATTAAGTGCATTTTGTCCTGAATTGAGCAGATAAGTCAGTCACTGCCAATGGAACAAGACAATTTACATTTAGAATAAGAAAAAAACAATTGCAGTCTCTTATTTCAAGTGCATAATAACTAATTATCTTATTTTAATGGTAAGAATGCTCATTCCATTGGCAGATAATCATATTTTCATATTAAAATGAAGGTTAAATAAACTTATTTTAAGAAATGTGTACTAATTTCTTAATGAGTAAGAGGGACAAAACATTCGCTCCAGTTGTATACTCTGTTGATTGAACAGCATTTTGTTCTACAACCCAATAATCTGACCTAAATGGAAATGTGGCAAGAAGAAAAAAAAATTTTTGATGTTTTGTTCTACATTAAAATAAACATCCTTTGTCTGTGGTTTTGTATGGTAGTGGCTGTGTCATGCTCTGGTATTGTAAACTGGGGTTAAGTCTGATGTTTTTTGTTCGTTTGCAAGACATTGTTTGAAGCTCTCATTGTTTCCCTTCAACTTTTTATCCCTCTAAAAATATATTTTTTAAAAGTGTTAAACTGAGAAATGTTTTTCTTTGTGATATTTGTTATCTTTTTTTATGAAGAATCATTTATCTGGATTATGTCTAAGTCGATTTCTGAGTCCTTGTGTTGATGTACTACATTATTTTTTTAAATTAATCATGTAAACACAGCTTCTCCTTTCGCTGTCTGTTTCAGAGATGCTTATCCGCACCCACTTCCCTGCTTTGGAGGATTTTTGTCTCGTTGTCTGCCATGTCTGCAGTAAAGTGGTGACTCCTCAGGGCATCCTCACACATTACGGTAAGAAAAAAGATAACAAAGGCCAAAATCATAGAATTTTCCTAGATATTAACATCATCAGTGTATTTTCGCGCCACAGGGACGTCCACACTCGCACCCAGATTAATACAATAACTGGTGATTATCACTCCAACCTGTCGTTAACGTAAGCACTCAGAGCGCCACTCGTTTATTCTCTCTAATAGTCGACAGCCGCCTCATTAAAGGTGAGAAACACTAAATAATTTACAGCTGGTTTTATAAACAAGTGTTTTATCTCTATCAAACTAGCTAATCGGTTTGTTTTCCAATGGGGCTTTAATCATTACCGTGGTTCTTTCGGCTAATCTGCCGAAAAGTATTTTAATACTTCAACTGGAAAAATCAGAAGCAAACATGTGGATGGAAAATAATGTTTAAAGAGGAAGTAAGCAACTAGCTCTCAGCTAGATCTGTGTATTTGTTCCTGATACCATTTGATAATTAATGATCCATGTTCTTGAGACTATATATGTGATTTTTCCAGCCGTCATTAAACAAACCTTGTTGGAGCATTTATTAGGTTTGCTTCCTTGCTTCCTGTAGCCACAAACTTTTACGTATCTAGTTCATAAGGGACGTCTCTACCGGAACATCCAGAGACATTTTTAACCATCTTTCGAAAAAAGAAACTGTTAAAGGTCAGTTAGAATTCAGCTCTATTCACCTTTTGATGACCTTTTGGTTCGTTCTTTCTCTGGGCTATAAGTCTATAAGTTTCAGGCAGTTACACTTTCTAGAATCAGTTTTCAGGATTGGAAGGAGGACTTAGTCAGCTTTCCTGATCCCGCTTATCAGTGAATCTCCCACAGCATGATGCTGCCACCACCGAATTTCTGTATTTGGATGATGCATTTAAAGTGGTGAGGAACATATATTTCTCCATAAATGGCAAGATTATTGTTTTTTTATTCTTTTCCACCTGAGCTGTGGATCTCCTCAGAAGTAACAGTGGACCTTTGAGCTGCCTCTCTGATTAATAATCTGTGCTGACCTGTCAATTTAACCTGAAAATTTCTCAGTTAGATGTTGAGAACTGGGGATGTTTTCATTATCAGTTGGCGGGGCTGGATTTTATTTAGTTGGTATTGCAGTAAAATATATTTTAATGCAGTTAGTGACGTTGAAATGATAATTTTGCATCTACTACTTTGTCTCCAACCATCCTTCTCCAACCTCTTGGTAGTGGCGCCACAGGGCGCTCTTGCATCTGTCCGTGAGCCGATCTTAGAGGGGGAAGCTAGCGGAGGGGAGGAGGGCGTTACGCACACGGTCACGCTGAATAAACACATACACAAACAGAGTCTGGACGGCAGAGCCAGCAGAGTCGCACACATCCTCACTTTCTGTTTCTGAGCAGAAGGAGGTCAGCACTATTGTGAGGCACACTCTCAAATAAACTCCTGGCAACCACTGTTGTTCTGTCCCCGCTCCTGCCCCCCTGCAGCCCCTTCTACCCTTGGCAGCGGGTCTTAACCGCACTCATGCACATGTAAACACTCTGCATCTCCCTGCAAAACGAACTATTTTTTATATCATAAACTTCCGACTTCCTTTTTTAAATAACATTAAACTAAATAATGCTTTAGATAACTTACTGCTTTTTAGTTTGTTTAAATGACTATTACATATTAAATGACAACTGAATGGATCACCTGTCTAGATAGCTTTATGATACTTGATGCATTTCCTTCTTTTGTTGCACATCCTCACCAGCACATTCGTTTCCCCACTGGGATTTTGAGTCTAAATGTTTTGTTACCCAAAGAAGCGTCGTATTTGTTTTTGTGTATATTCACTGAGGGCTTAGCTTTCGCGCTTGACCTGCACAGCTGAGCAGCTCTAAAGCTTTAACATCTACACACAGAAGGGAGGAGCAGCCTGGCTGCCTCAGGGCATCGCTGGCTCCATTCTGCCTGCATAGTTTGCTGCTCATCTGGGCTGTATTTGGACTTTGGAGTCATTGCAATAGCTAGACGGTTGCAGATAATCATTGTCATCCATCCACCCTTTATGGCTTTAATCCTTGTAACCTTACCACTGCAGAAATATCCTCCATAAATGGAGTTTTGCATGGAAACAAATAGCAGAGAACAACAGAGAATTGAAACAATGAAGCTTGTTTGAGCTTCCTGTTCATCAGTTTCATCCATTTTTTTTATGGATGTGTTTGATTTAATTTTCCTTAGAGTAAAGCCAGCATCCATATTCTCAGAATCTAAATTTCTCTGTGGGATATAATCTAAATCCCCACCGCTGGCAGTGTTGCTACCACATTCTCTCTTAAGAGATTTCCCTGGAGAAAAAATGTGCAAAGAAATGCTGAAAAATACTTAAACCTCAAAGCCTATTATTGCCTGATCAGGGTGTAAAAGGCACATTTTAGCCGTAATAACTCATGTTTCCCGTGAAGTAAGTTGTAAAAACTATCTGAAACATGAATTTTCTAAGGGCATCCCTTAAGTCATGTTCAAACTGGGTCCTAAGTGCTGCTAGAGACAAGAGAATCCAGTGGTCAGTGCAGATTTCTGCTTTTGTGGACCTACGTTTGAATAAATACGCCTCCATCGCATCTTCCCGATAATTCAATATATTTCCTCCAGTGCAAGTAAGTTGAATAAGCAATGAAAGGGTCATGTTATTGTTTGTGGAAGCGTCTGTCTCTCCTTTCTCTGTGGCTTTATTGAGCTTGGAGGCAGATCAGATCAATTTTGCGCATCTTTTCAGCTTCAGTGTAGCCCTCTTTTAACAAGCGTCGGGCTTCTGAGTGGGAGCTTGTTATAAAAGCTTGTTGTTGTTTGCATCACTTGCCGTTCGAATGTTGGTGGTGAAATTTGCCTTTAACCAAAGAAGCTGTTGGGTTTCGTTTACCGATGAGGGAGTGATGTTCCTAACTTAACAGTTGCTGTTTTGGTTTTGGCTGCATAGTAGCTCTCAGCTGGACCTGAAAAAGCCCACTCCTTATTTTTATCTCAGGGCTGTTTTTAATCATGATAGAAGAGGCGCCTTCTTTGTTTATGTTCAGAAATGTTTTTATTTATTTTTTACCATCATTATCTTTTTATAGCAATATTTCTAAGTTAGCCCTCCATTTTAATAATCAGTTCAGATCTTTTTAGATCAATTTCATCACTATTTTCAATTATCTTCTGCCATGTTTGGGGGTAGCAACTTCTCTGATGTCGGTTAATTGGGTCTGATCCTGCATCCACTTGCTCTGAAGGTCCCTTTTTTTTGCTAACATTACTATTACAACCTACATCAGTTTATTTTTAGTTATTTTGTAGCTTTAGCATTTCAAAAATAACTTGCTACTATAGTGAAAGGTTAAGGATACTATGGTTTGATTAGGAACGTATTAATTTGCTTGATTTTTTAAAAGAAACTTTAACCCCACCGAGCTAAATATCTGATATGATTTAATACTAATGTTGAATTAAACATTTATTCTAAGTGCTTACATACATGTATCTAATTTAGCTATTGTTCACCGCACATGGGAAAACCAGAGCCATTTCAATGTATAATGCATACACAATATTTAATTATCTTTTTTATTCATTTATTTCATTCAGATATGTATCAATATCGTTTTTACATGTCGGATTGTGGCTCATTTTATAAATAAACCACTAAGAAAAAAAATAAGGTTTCTATTATTATTGATGTGGTAATGACATTTTTAGTCATTTACAGATTTTTTGAAATGATCAACTAGTAAAACTATATATGTATGTAGTTAGCTATACAGTTTTTAGCTCTATTTAGCTTTAGTTATAGAAATATTTCTCTCAGTATTTAAAGAAATTAGGGACTCTGGTAGTGTTTATCTACTCATAAATTGTTTTTTTTTAAGTTTCAATACTTTATTGAAATTTAGAATATCCAATTTAATGCTGAGATGTATGACCTGATTTGTGGGGTTTGTAATAACCAAAAAAGCTTTTTTTTTGTTAAATAGAGCTAAAGAAACCTAAGGGACCTAAAACCGATTATTGTGGTTTTCTATATTTTCAGACCTTTTAAAAAAGAGACTTTTCAGACCTAAATTACTTCTCCTTTTTTTTTTTTTTTTTTTTTAAAGCTAACTGCAGTGGTTTCTTTTATGATCTTATTCCAAATTTCAAAGCTCTACGTAAGCATCTAAAATAGGGGAATATGTCGCGGCCACAAGTTTCTGTTATTTTAGTTATTGAGTATTCTGTCTGTAATTTTCTCTTGACAAATTGATTAATGGAGTAAAGACACATTCTACTGCTTTTTATTTGAGCTTACACTATAACTAAACTATATATTTAATATATATAGTTTAATATATATATATATATGTACATATACACAGACAGTGACTTGTCTGTATACTTCAGTTAATGATCATTAGATTACTAAATTATTGATTTAAGATTAATCACGATGAATAATTTTTAAATTTTTCAGCTCTTGTATATACCTTATAATAACATTTTTATGCTGCTCACAAACAGTAAATAAGATAATAATTGTGAAAAAAAAAAGTTTCCTTTAGTATAATCCTTGCTAATTATGCAGCAGAAATGTATCCAATAATTGTTTTTTAATGTTATGTTCATATTGAAATTTGGGCAATTAAATTCATATTCTTAATATTTGTTTGCTAGAAAATTACTTTTTAGGCTCCCATTGATGAATTAATATATTCCTAATGAAGGAGGTTTTGTTTTTACTCTACTCTAAATTTGTTTTCTGTGTTTATTCAACAATAATTTATTTGCATCCACTTAAAGATTCTTTTCTGCCACTGAAGAATCTGTTTCCATTCAGATATTTGTTGTGTAAACCAGCATAATAACTGTGTTATTAGTTTATATAGACTATAGTGGTGTTTATAAGTCTGCAGCTGTAGTCAATTATCACTCCCAGGCTTATTTCTCTGGAGATTATTCAGATGTCTCTTATTTTCTTATGTTTCTGTGTCTTCTCCTTTCTGAACACAAACAAACTCATCTGAGCTCTGAGAGCCTACTTCCTTATTCTTTTGGCTCCACCCACGGGATGAATCGGAGGCCAATCAGCAAGCAGCTGGCCTGACAGCATGGCCATAACAACCAGCAACAAGCAGGAGAGAGTAGCAGGGATGGCGCCCTTGTGGTTGACAGGCTTGTTGACCTTGCCAGGAGATTGTCTGTGTATGTGACTCATGATGGGTTGCTTCTGGTTTTTCCTCAGTTTTAGTTTGAGTGGGAAAACATTGACTTTATTTATTTCTTGCAGTATACAGGACTACTTTTTGGAGAACTTTTAGACTACATTTATAACTTTTAAGCGTATTCTTCAATTAAATTTGCCGTAATGTTAACTTTTTGTCTTTGATACTTGAGAAAATTTCCCCCAAAAATATTTTGATTGCTAATGATTTCAAGTTTAAAAGCTTATACCTTTAAAGCTCACTGAAAATCAATGTTTTTATTCTTAAAAATGACACCAAATGTAACAATAGGTGCTGAAAGCAGAGTATAAATGTGGCCGCCTCCAGTTCATCCGTCAGTTGTTTGTTTCTTCTGCTGCTTTGTCAAAAAGCAGAATTGACTGAAATGGTGCGAATCCAACGTGTGAAATGTAAAGGAACATGTGAGCAAACGTGTGAAACGAATACTGCATACCAGTAAATGCGAGTGTGGACTTTCACCCTGCTATTCTGAATACAGCAGCCTCCACTGGTTTCCTGCCTCCACTGGTTTATTTACACACCTGTCACACATAGAAACACGATGCACAAAAATGATCCTGCAAAAAATGAAACTGTATTGTGGAACTGATGGGTAGATGAATCCTAAATTCTGCTGTTTTTCCTGCTAAATTAGGATTATATACTTAATTACATGAGATGATGCTAAGATTCGACGTAGGATGTACTCAGCTCTTAACAAGCAGAGTCCTATGCCTTGTGCTTCTACCTGAAAAATCAATAATTGTGACTCTAAAGCAAGAAGAGATGCTTTTATTAGCATTTGGACTCAGTGAAAGAAAACAGAGCCAACCTCAGTCTGAAGATAAGAGTATCTGCTGCCTGATACGTCTTAAAGATTAGTGAAAAGGGTTACAGTCATCTAAAAAATGTTCTGAACATATTGGAAAGAAGAGATGCTTTATTTATTAAAAGCATTAGTATTTTGAAGGTTTGGAGCCAAGTAGTTTGATTTGCTCCTGACTGTTGAAGTAAGAGGAAATACCGCTGTTCGATTCAGAAAGCTCTTACGTTTCCAAAAGGAGGATTATAGCAGCTTGTGAGTCGGTTAAAGGACTAAAAGGTCTCATAAGAATGAAAAACACAAAATAATCAGCGACACGGAATCCGAGCAAGTTTGCCACAAATCTGGCTGCAGGTGGTTAAATGCCCAATGCTATATGATCAGAGAAACTACAGCGGGTTCTTGCCTCGGATTATATTAAAAGTGTCTACCTCTACGATGATAATAATTAAAAAACAGAAGCTGCCTAGCATCAAACAATGCATTATGATGGTCGCTGCTACACTCCTCAAAATCTTGAGACTAGGAAAGAAAATCTTAGGTCTTTAGATTCAAAAAGAAAATACAGACACGTGAGAAAAGTAGAGCAGGCTATGTGGTTTCAGCCGTTTTCCCTTGTAACACCGCAGCCCAGTAAACCTGTTTGACAACAGACATCTACAAACACTAGGAGCTCTACCTTCCTGCAGTTTCACCTAGCCTTAATACCATTAAATATTATTATTTATGTTAGTAATGAATCAATAAGTACAAGTGGGTTTTTTCACTTTTTTCTCACAAGTGATTTTATCACAAGTATAGTTCTTATTTTAGGGATTCAATCCAGAGCTGCGACTAACGATTAATTATTTTGCTTAATGATCAAAGGTTCCTTAAAGAATTTTTTTTTACCAAATTAAATGTTTTCACTTGAGGAGTTCTGGATTCAACATATTGATGGACGTTAAAGGTTATTTTTATCTTAAATAAAACATTTTTCCACATTTTTTTTAAATGTATGATTACTGCTCTAAGTTGGTTGCTCTGTCCGCTAAAAGCATGTTTTACAATCTCTATACTCCATTTAACGTTTCATCAAACACTGAAATATTTGATTGCTTCAATAATTATCAAATTTTAAGATTAGATTAAGCTGTCTTAAATGTCATTTATAAAACATTTCCTATTATATTACTTTTTGCTTCATACTCCTGTTCCTTCTTTTGCATTTTGAAGCTTAGATCACAACCTGGTTGGGGGTAGTTTGAATTTTTGCGATGGTCTTTATTTTTTAAGCAGAAGTATTCGCAAACCCAACAAAAACATTAAAAGCAGCTGAACTGAACATTCCAGTGTAAGGAACTGTGAATGCTGGATTAAACCTAGAGAGTTTGGACTTTTTCATGCTCCCAACTTTTTAGGAACATTTTAGGGAGTGCCCCTTCCTTCCTTCTCCTACATCAAGGTGTCAGCCAGGTGCCTAAAGAAAGACAAGGATGAGAGAGTTTAATCTATGATCCAGATCTTCTTGTCCAATCAGTCAAAGATCTCTGCCAAAACGTGCTTCTGAACCTTGTGGACAACCTTCCCAGAAGAGTTGAAGCCGTTAGAGCTGCAAAGGGAGAACTGACACCACATTAAAACCTATGGAATAGGAAACCGAACCAGCTGTTTGAAAAGATCTCTAAGGAAGAAATGTTTGAAAATGATTCCCACTGTTCAGTATGGTGGATAACCCATGATGCAGTGGGGCCTAATTATCTTTAACTGCCATTCAGGGCCTTGTAGTAGAATGCGCTGATTTTTATCACCAGGCAGGAAATTCACCCTCAACGGTTTAATTCGCACCGTTTTTTACCTGATTTCTATATTTTGATATTATTTGCCTAAAATACACTTTGTGTGTAGTTTTTTCTTTCTTTTTTTTTTTTTTTCTTTTTTAGGTTCACAGAGGTCCCCACCCCCCCCCCCCCTAACTTTATTGCTGAGCATTTACAACATCTTCACCCCTCTGTTTTCATTCAGGTAGCTGGGGTATAGTTTCCCTGTGAGACAGACACAGAGAGAGACAGTCCTGGACCACACACTCCCAACCCCCTACCCACCCTGCTCCCACAAAGACATGCATAGCAAAAACCGTAAGTTAAGCTCCTCTCCTCTCCTCAGTCCCCCTAAATCCTCCACCCGCACACCGACAGACTTGTGATTAGTTATATTTCCCCCCCTCCGACTCTTTCTGGGCCGTTTAAGCTCAAAGATTCTGATCAGATTTGGTTCAAAAGGGATTCATCATTGTGGGCTTTAGTTTGATTTTCATTAGTAAGGTGGCATTCATCAGACGAACATATTTATGATAGCGGTGGGCATGTTGCTAATTAGAGAAAAGTGAAGAAAGTTGAATTGGAAACAGTTTTCAGGAACAACACAGTTCTGCTCTCTGCTGTGCTACAAAAGCAGCCATCTGGATGGAAATCGGCAATAAAGACATTACAATTCTTTCAGTTTTATTTAGTTGTTGCTTGTTAATAGAGAAGAAAAATGTATTCCTATTGAACCTAATAGGTTTGCATGATTGCAGTGCCATGCAAAGGTGGGCATATATGAGATAACTGTGAATACAAACATATGCGTAGGTGTCGAAAGTCCTGCAAATGTATTTGTTCCTGGTTTCTAACTCATACATGCATGTGACGACTCATGTTTCATATGTGACAATACAAGTTTACACTTTTGCAACAATATAATTACACACTACATATTTAGGTACAGATCAAAAACGTATGTTTGTATGGCTGTAGATTTACTCTTGTGAATTTGCGATTTATTCTCATAAATGTATGAGTTTTCAACTCAGATTTTTACAAATGAAACACCTGATGTCACGTGTACATATTTGTTCACAACAAGGAACAAATGCAAATCTTGAATTAACATTTATTGGCTTACATTTAAACAAGTAAACACCTACATATATGTTTTAATTGGCAGCCATCTTCCTCCGTATTCATGCCCCTTGAACTTTCTGTGTTTCAATATTTTGCTACATTACAACCGTAATATCTTCTATGGACAAATTCAAAGTAGTACAACATTTTAAAGCAAGTGACGTTAAACAGAGTTTTTATTTTTTGGGAAGGTGACCATCCGAAACATTAGGGATGTCTTTGATTTTACCGCCCTTTACTTTGATACCCCTAATTAAACTTTAGGAGACTTGTTTATCCTCCTGTAATTGTTTTAGGTAGGTCTATTCTAGATGCTGACTCCTTTTGTACATTTGTTTCAGTAAAAGAGTAAGACGCATTCAGGTTGAAGAGAAAGCATCTGTAAACTTATTTTATTTAGTTTCTCAGTTAGACTTTGACTAGGCCATTTAATATGTGGATGTGCCTTAATCTGATCCAGGTCAGTTGCTGTCCTGTTATCCTAATAGTGATCCTATAATGACCTCAGCTGGTATGTTGTCTTCTTAGTTTTATTTTGAGTGTCAGAGTAAAGGGGGTTGATGCAGAATCATTCCACACAATGAGTCAGAATATGTAAGAAGTCAAATGGCTATGAATATTTCTTCCATAGCTCTCAATAATCAGCGTCTGATCAGTGTTTACCTTATATTTTTCATTTCTCTGTACAACTTCATGTTAAGTTTTTTTTTTTTTTTTCTCTTCTCGTCGTGTTTTAGAGAAGCGACACAGCTCCCCGATCCCCTCCAGGAGCCCGCTCGTTCCCATGAAGCCCAAAGCGCCTGCCGTGGCCCCCAGCCCAGGGGACACGCTTGCATTCAGGGTCCCCAAAGATTACCCTCACTCCCGCTTCAACAAGGCACCGCTCGCCGTCTACCCACCAAAGGGGGCGCGGAACAAGACCTGGTTTGTGCATGCTTCCTTTATTTATTTATTTTTTTGTATGATTTCAGTGTGAGTCACTCTGACTTTTTAGAACAGGCACCTTTTGCTCCTTCTAAATGACACATTTTCCTGTATTTTAATGCTGGTTCCAACGTCTCCTTTCCCCCTCCCAGCGTATCGTTACCTGTCGTCAGCTTGGAGAAGATGCCCTGTCTGAACCGAGCAGACTCGGCATCGCACGTGCGCCTCAACTCCTCCTCCTCTTCATCCTCATCCACGCTCTCTCCGCTAAAATCGCCCTCCTTCGCCCCACCAGCCTCCCAGCGCTCCAACGAAAAGCTCGTCAACGGCCGCCCCAGCGGCGGCCCCTCAACACCGCGTTCCATCACGCCTCCCTCCTCCCTGGATAGGCGGCCGAGCCCCGCGCGATCCCCCCTAGAGAGACGGGGGTCGTCAACGCCGTCGCCCTCCCCTATGGACAGGAAGCCCTCCCTCTCGCCGTCGCCCTCTCACAGATCCGTTGCTCTGCCAACGTTGTCGTCGCTCTCGCCCATGGAGAAGAAGCAACAAAACGGCGCTAAGGCGCCTGCTAGGCCGCACAAGAGAGTCTCAGGTGAGTCAATATGGAGTTAAAATTAGCTTCAACTTTTTAAATAAGTTTAGAAAAATTTGATTAACATTTCTGTTTATCTCTTAATGTAAAATTAGGACAGTGATGCAGCTAATGGTGGTATTTTTAATCTCTCTGATATACTGCTATAAAAGCTGTTTATCTAAAGAACCCCCCCAACTACCGTATCTCCACATATTTATCAGCTTATGATTCTGCACCTCCTCCTTGTTTTCTCTGACATTTTAACACTCTGAGGAGTATTTCCTACATTCTCTCCTCTCCTGTCTGCTTGTTTTGCTCTTTATCAGGCTCCTCCGTCTAGTCAGTGTAAACTGTGTGTGTGAGTGAGAGCATGTGAGTTTGTTGATATCTCTGGTTTGCTGCTGCACAGATCTGACCTGTTGTCCGGTGCAGCAAACACAGAAAGATTACGGGGATTATAAAACAGGCCAGGACAAGATTACAGCCTTCTCGGAGCAACAGTTTAAGATTGGCCAGTTAGTTTGTGCAGAGAAACATAACTTATTTGTAGGCTTTGAAAGCAGATAGGAGCTTTAGGCTGTAAAAGCATTGATGCACATTTGCATCAAAGTCATTCCAAACAAAAAAAATAATAAATCAGCATTTTATTTGTCCATAATTTGCACGTTTTAAAAAAAAAACTTTGCAAACCTAACCATGTTTTTAGCTTTGGTTATGCTTAATGACACGGTCCATGTATCTCTGCATCTACATCTCTGTATTCTATTTGAATAGACTGAATTAAACACGTGTGAGATTTATGGAGATGTGATACTTTCAGAATCAGCATCTCTCTGAAATTATGCTTTGGAAGCCATTACTCCCTTTTACGCTAAAGTACGATATGTTGACATTGTTCTTGAGAAGAACTCCCCTTCTAAAATGAAGCTAAACAGAATTACAGAGGTGTTTTTTTTACAAAAAGGGTCAAGAGAGGTTTACAAAGTTGGCACCATCTGTGTCGTCTGCTTTTTTTACATGTAGAAACATTCATTTTTAATTTTCAGATCACTAAAAATGATGATTGGAGTTGGATCCAAAAGTTTTGGGCAACTGTTTAAAATTCAACCACACACGCACACAAACATAGTTATCACTTTCACAGTGCCTAGCTATGTGTGTGTGAGGTTGGACAGGGCCATAACCCGCAACGGATTGGTCCATTTAAAGGAATTATATGCCAATCAAATTGTTAGAGAAGGTAAAATGTATATAGATTCAGGTGACCAAGACTGACAGTCGTTCCAGCCAATCAGAGCCAGCCAAAAACCGTCTGTTAGCTTGATCACTCTCCTGGATTGGAGGCTTTTAAAGGCTACTTCATGATGCTAAAGACCTGCGGATACGCCCAAAGTGTTTTTATCTTTTGCAATAGAGATTACTCTGAACCAAACACATGTGGATTTACCCATAATACAGTTTTCATGGAGAAGCAGCAAAGGTAAGAGATACTCTAACCGCTAGTTTCAGGCTCAGCGGTTTCATCTCTTGCTGTTTAATGGCCTGTATCTCTGCAATGCTTTGGTTTAGAGGAAAGTGAAGCACATGACTCGATTCTACCGAGACTCAACTTTCATTTGATGTGTATATTGTGGTGGGCCGATGCAGGTTTGTGGCTGTGGAGACAGAAGATCTATTGGGCCGTGTATTTACATTTTACATCTCTAATGTCATTTGAGTATAACTTTAGTTGTGTTTTGCACATTTTAAAAAGGTTTGTAGCCTAGATTCTACCTAGATTCTAGATTCCATCTACCGTAGATGATACTTTGCAGTTCCTTGTGATGAATGCATCGTTTATCATGCATTATTACAAACAGCCTAAAGTTTCTTTATCACTGGCTTTATCACTGTTGTTGTCGTGTTTGAGCCTTGTTCCAAATAAGTCATTTTTTTTTACTTTTTCTTGTTCTTACTAGTTTTTTGCACAAGGTAAGCTTTAAAAACCTGAAACCAACGCTATAGATAAGCTCACCTAGCTGACGTGGAGATGCTCTGACATCTTAAATGCATTTTTAATTAGCTTTGTTACTTTGCTGCCCATTATACACAATATATTTTGGCAGTCATTGACACACAGAAAACAAAGTCAAAGCAGTCAGATTTGTTGAAAGTATAGTTTTTATTCTTTCTTCCTCAATCAGGATCCTGTCAGCCCGCCAAGATGTCCTGTCAGAACAATTAGTCACCGCATGAATCACTTGCTCAGGTTGATTCGTTTGATGCTGAAAGTGCACTCCGCTTTCTCACGCAGAATCCTAGAATCTGGCCTCTAAAACTAATTCTGAACGACTGAAACAAACAAGGTTGATAGGGATGATTTGCACGAGTAGGAAAGCACAATCCACCATCATAAAGAGCTGAATTAGCTCAGTCAGAGAGCTGGAGAACTTTCTCTTGCATCTAATGAGATTTGGTATATGAAAGGAGAAATGAAGCAGTGATGCCTTTTTTTTCCTATTTAATGTAATGTGTGTCTGTGTATTTTACAGGGAGAGTCTTTGATCCTGACAAGCACTGCGGAGTGCCCGACCCTGAGACTAAACGTTCCTGCACGCGCTCTCTCACCTGCAAGGTAACACAACCCCACAATCACTCCCCCGTCTTCTTTTACACACCCCTCTCTGGGAAAAGGAAGCAGCTAAGCTCTCCAGCCCTCGTCGCTACGGCTCCTGCGCTTTCCAGCATTACAGGGTTCTCGCTTCTCTTGATGAAGTAATTATAGATGTGAGATGAGGCGACATCATCGTTTAGCTGTAATACTCTAGAACTGCCCTTTAATTACCTCCACCAAGCTTTACTAATCTTTCTCAAACATACTGGTTATTAAGTAATTAAAGAGCCATCATGTTAGTGTCTTTGGGTATTTTATTTTATTTTTTTAAAGAAAGGATTTTATTTTATTATTTTTCCGGACATGTTGTTCCTGCCTTGGCTGTAGGGATTTATTTAGAGGATCAAAGTAAAGGGGTTGAAGACTAATGTCTTTTTCAGATTTCTTTAGTCCTTAATAAAACGTTTTAAACAAAGTGCTGCTGCCTTATTTCAGATCTACCATAAAATCGGCAATTACAAAGTTATATTGGTAGTTAAGGTTATAAAATGTGAATATTTTGTGAGGCTTAAGGATAAGTAGTGATCCAGCGTTGTCACAGATTAGACCTTTGATGTTTGAGGATGGTGTTCATTTTGAAAAAGGTAAAATGAATGAAATCGCTGCTCCGTTGCAGATCTTTCAGCCTCAATTTGGAGCTTCTTTATAAAAATGAACTCTGAATTCTTCGCTTAGCACCTGTTATTTAATTAAATCATAAATACTTTCTTAATATCCAAGGGAAATTAAATGTTGGAGTAACTCTAAGGTTATTTTGCTGTCATGAGATCTTTTTACCTGAATTATGGTTATGTTTGAATTTATGGTTGTCACCTAGAAGTTCCTAATGAGTTTTAACAGAGGAAGTATTTTTTAATGAATGAAGCCTTGATTGCAGCCTTTTAAAATTGAGTTTTGTTGTTTTACTTTTTGTTTAGTTGGACTTTATTATGTTTACCGATGATTATTAATATTGAATTATAAGTACATCCTTTAGCCATAACATTTTGATCAAATGTTTTCCTTAACATCTCCCAGTATTTCAAAAAAGGTACCATGATGCTTTTTGATTTAACATGGCTCCTTCCTTCCTTCCTTCCTTCCTTCCTTCCTTCCTTCCTTCCTTCCTTCCTTCCTTCCTTCCTTCCTTCCTTCCTTCCTTCCTTCCTTCCTTCCTTCCTTCCTTCCTTCCTTCCTTCCTTCCTTCTGTCCGTTCGTCCTCTCTCCCTTCCGTCCTTCATTCCTACTTCTCTCAGTTCCTTCCTTCCTTCCTTCCTTCCTTCCTTCCTTCCTTCCTTCCTTCTGTCCTTCCCTTCTGTCCTTATTTCCTTCCTCCCTTCCCTCCTTTCTTCCCTCCTTCCTTCCTTCCTTCCTTCCTCCCTCCGTCTTTTCCTTCCTCCCCTCGTTCCTTCTTTCCTACTTCTCTCACTTCTTTCCTCCCTTCCTTCCTTCTTTCCCACTTCTCTCACTTCCTTCCTTCCTTCTTTCCTACTTCTCTCACTTCCTTCCTTCTTTCCTACTTCTCTCACTTCCTTCTTTCCATCTTTCCTACTTCTCTCACTTCCTTCCTTCCTTCCTTCCTTCCTTCCTTCCGTTTGTTCGTCCTCCCTCCCTTTCGTCCTTATTTCCTTCCCTCATTCCTTCCTTCCTTCCTCCCTCCCTCTTTTCCCTCCTTCCTTCCCTCCTTCCTCCCTCCCTCCATCCCCATCATTTTCTTGTTTCTTTCCTTCAATCCCCTTTCACTGCTTCCCTTTCATTTTCCCCACATCATCTTTCCTTCATTCCATCTTTATTGATCTTTAATATTTAGTTTCTTTTTAAAGCAGTGTAAAGGGCTGGAACTGAAAGGTTTTGGAAAGTCTGAAGCTTTTACATGAACACACCTTTACCAGAGGTTCAGATGCTTAAATTTGCTTTACTTCTCTTAGAAACAGCCCTGCTCCTCCAATATGGAAGGGCACTCCTTCGTTCCTATTTAAGCTTCGTTTTTAAAGAACGAATCAAGTTATTTATTCTTAATCTCGGTTAATAATGATGCAAATTTTCAAAACTTGAATAAAAAAAATAAATAAATAAAATGCTTGTGTGGTAGATCTGGTTTAATTTAATAAAGGAAGATTTAAACACAAGTGCAGAACTTGAAGATTTAGCTGTGGTGGAGTTGAAATCAGGATTTTCATCACTAAGCAGATTTAATTTGCAGTTATATGCTGCATTAAATCCACATCAGCAGCATTATTAAAGAAAAACTCAATGGGGCTGTTCTAGTCGCACCATAAGTCATTTTTACAAAAACTTCAGCCTGGCTGCTGGGCTCCTTCTGCCGTCAGCAGCGCTTATGAAGAGCAGGGAAGAAGGTGTATTGTTTCTGTGCATCAGTTGGGTTCTAACTACAGCTTCTGAGATGCTGAACATGATGAAGAACCTGCCTAACCTACCCTGAAACCTAGAGGTCCAGTTAGTCTTCCTGTATGTCCTAATACATTTCTGAGCTGTAGTCTGATTATTCTTTTAAACATTTAAACACCAATAGTTTTTGTCGATTCCTGCATGTTTGAAAAGCTGAGGGTTTAGCAAAGAGTTATTTTTACTCCACTGAACTAATTCATTTGACCCCTCTTTGACAACAAGGGTTTGAACCTGCCAGCTAACAGACCAGTTTTGGGTCATCTGAGTAATTGCGATTAAAATTTTTAATCTGCAAACAGCCTTATTTTTAAACCTAATCTCTAAGGGCTCCACTGTAGAGAACACGCTAAATTCAGCTCTGTTGTTAGTGAGTTCTATCAATAGAGGGTGGAATGATTTGAATAGAAGTAAACTTTTATATTAAGCAGGACCTCTTCCATATAAATGGACTGACTTTTAGAAAATTCTAGCCTCCTGCCAGACGTCCGTCTCACCTGGAGTCATCAGCGTTCTGCTGTCGACTTTGCTCACATAGGATGAACATGAAGACAAAGTGCTCCCTAAGCTCTCTGCTCAGATTTAAATTGGTCAAGCTGTGACATTCTTATTCTGCGGTCTGGATCGTTAGAAGTGTGATTTATGAACCTCCCGTACCAGTTTAAAGATCCTCTCTCACTTTCAGTACTTTTTTTGAAGAACCACAAAAAAATCTGCCTTATTTTTTCCTGGAACAGTTTTCATGAGCTTTCATATGCCAAAATTATCCGTATTAAGACAATAAAAGACTTAAAATATTTTAGTTGGAGTGCAATGAATCTAAAATATATGAATTTTCAAGTTTTATCATTACATTATTGAAAATCATTAACTTTATCTCAATATGCTAATATTTTGAGAAGGACCTGTATATTGGTGGATGTCATCAAATACATCTCCATAGAAAAATAGTTATAATTAAGCTGCAAAGATATGTAGCATTCATGTTGCTGGATGTTACCTGAATGCTTTTTACCCCAAAGAACCAAAAGTATTTTTACGGTAACCTTTGCTGTCCTGGTTGTGCTACAGACTCACTCGTTAACCCAGCGCCGCGCCGTGCCCGGCCGAAGCAGGCTTTTCGACGAGCTCTTAGCCGAGCACAAGGGCCTGGCTAAGGAGAGGGAGGCTCTGAAGGAGAAGGAGAGGGAAGCGGCGCTCAGGGGGAAGGAAGGATGCAGTCAGAGCAATGCAGCTCCAGAAACGCCGAGTCCCAGCAAAACCTACTGCCCCGCTGAAAGACCGCTCTCCTCGTTGAAGCTGCGGCTCGCCAATGCACACATACCAAGGTAAAGCTGCTTATCATTTATTTATTACTGCATTTAATGATGCCAAAGCTCAATTTAAACCTCCAAAAATGTTTGATCATAAGATCAATAGCAAATACATGTATAGATAGGCGGTGTCCTATACAGTAATAGGGGAGATGTCCCTCAGACAGTCACTGATCCCCTTCCAGACAGAGGTTATGCCACAAAAAGTAATAGCTAGCTTTTATTGAGGTACTATGTTGCTGTTTGTTTTGAATAAACCCCTCCTAATACAGTCTAATGTAATAATCACACCCACACTGGAAGGTTTATTGTCTGTGCTGCTTGTTATATTGAGCAGAATCTGCCCATGTGGAAAGGAAACCAACCAGAATGGTACTAAAGTATGTTACCGAGAAGAAGATGTTGCGTTACCATGTTTTACCACCAGGGGTTGCTGTAAAGTTCAAACAAGTAAAAAGAAAGAGAGGGAAAAGTGTTAATTTATCAATGTCGGGGTACTAACTCTTCCCCCTCTCCTGTCATCCGATGCTTCGTCTCCAGAGTTCTGGTTGGCTCCTCTTCCATCTCCAGTTCGAGTCCTCTGCCTCCAGCAGTGCCTCCTGCCGTAGTTCCTGTCGCCGATCCGTCTTCTAACAGCTGGGGGAACGCAGCAGGGGACAGCAGCCGACTCTCCAGCGACGAGGGAGACCCAGAGAGTCCAGATGACACTGACAGACCCTTGTTGCATTACTCCAGTCATCATCCGCGGCCTTTAGGGGTAAATATTTAGACAATGGATTCCGATATTAGGTTGAAACCTCCCTTTAGATCCAAAGTTTGTTTAATGTCTTTCTGAATTCTGCTTTTTAGGCATTAATTCTTCCATTTTTTTAGCTTTTTTTTCTATTTCCATCCATTTATCTCTACTTACTTGCCTTAGGGTGTCAGGTTGCTCCTTTAACCAGGTTCTCCTGTGTCTCCGTGCAGTTGTGCGTCTTCAGCAGCCGGCTTATGGGACAGGGCTACTATGTGTTCGACAGGCGATGGGTCAGAATGAGGCTGGCCCTGCAGACTATGGTGGAGAAACACCTCAACGCCCAAATGTGGAGGCGAGTGTTCAACGTGACTTAATGCCTCATTTTGTGTTGCGTCACAATTTAATATGTTGATTCAGTGATAAAGTTTTTAAGAAGTGTGAAAAACATCTCAAGGCTACTTAATATGGCCGTATTATCACTCTGGAACAAATATTTCTGGGTGCCCATTTTTTAAAGGATTTGTGTATTTCAGGAAGGTGCCTCTTGCCGCTGAGAGCCTTCCCTCCCTCTCCACATCTAGTACCTCCTTGGTTACGGCACAGCAGGCTCCTTCTTCCACCCCCATCGCCTCTCCTGTCCCTTCCTCACCCTCTAACACGCTCACCTACACCGCCACGTTCCCTCAGTCGGCATCGGCAGCTGGAGTGTTCAACGTCAGAGACTCCGCGCAGTCCCACAGCCCGGCTTTTACACAGGGAAAAGCCCGCAACGGCTCCCACAAAGCCAGCCGGCCATCCAAAGACGCAAGCGTCCCCTCGGCGGGCCAGAAAAAGAGAAAGAACTCTTCCCACTCTTCGTCGTCCTTCTCATCTTCCTCGTTTCAGACAGTAGATGTCCACAAAAGGAACGGCAGCCGTTTTCACCCGACGCTACCAGGCTATGGGATAGCCAGGAGTTCCCCAGCCAAGAATAAGGGACCTCAAGGGGGGAATGGGCGTCTGAGCAGCTCTGATAACTGGCTGTCCAGAGCAGATGGGTCACAAGGCATCAACACACAGAACTGGTAGGTCTCTGTATGTTTATAGATAATTAGAAAGTTAAGATTTCAGCTTAGCTTTATTTAAGCTCCCTATATAGATTAGTGAACGATTTGCACACACCTAAAAGTCCTTTTCTTACATCTTTTCTTTAAGCCATAGATTGCAGAGTAGATCAAAAGAATCACATCAAATAAATATGAGAATTTATGCAGTTATATGGCCCTTATAAGAAATGATTCATGTTTTCCCTGAGAGATGATTACTGTTTTGTTTTGGTGTTTGTCTTTTCTTGTCAAAAAATACTCATTTAAGAGAATTTTATAAAGTTATTTACAGAAATTGAGAGCAGATATGCAGTATAAAATGACAAAACCCAAAACATTCACTAATTTTATCACTTTGTTGTGTAGAAAAGCAGTTAATTGTTAAAATTTCCAGTAAGTTAAGAGTGAATATTAAATCTGTGTTAGGGATGGGGATCGAAACCCGGTTCCATCAAGGACCCGGTTCCACTTTTTTCAAAACCCGAAAATCAATAACGTTTGGGCTTATCGATACCACTATCGAGTCTGGTCTTTTTTTTTTTTCTCCCGGGTGTCCTGTAACATACTTGTGTGTCCCTCGAGTCGCGTCACAGCATTTAAATCTAATCAATCCAATCACTGCAGCATGTCATCCAATGTTTTGGAATGATATTGTAAGCAAACAGATATTAAAAGTAAAACAAGTGAAGTCTGGCACCTAACTTTGCTCGCGACTCGAGAATGAATGAACGGAAAAGACTTCTCCTCCTCCTCCTACGGCTGCCGCCGCACCACAGTCGGGCCCGTCTTAATCATCCACTCAGAGTACCACTGGTGAGCGTGCACACAGACTTTGTAGCTTGTCCGGTCAGTTAAAAATAGTAATTGTGAAATCCATCTCGTAATCGGAAGCATACAAGCTAGTTAGCTTGAAAAGTAAATAAAGTTTCAGACGTGCTGCGTGATGATGTGTTCAGATTGGCTCAGTAAAACGACAATTAGGTTATCATGATGCGTTCAAGTGTAACGTAAAGAAAACGGGAAATTTAGTTTTTGGCGAGAAACATGAGTAATACAGTTGTATATTGCTCTAACTATTTTAGAATATATAATTAAACTACTGATGCCAACATTTATTAAAAATTACATTTAATTTAAAATACAATTATTTATTTGCTAAATATTTTCCTAATCACTAAAAACATGATGAAAAGTGACAGTAGACAATACATTAACCAACAATTGTGAAAATATATTCTAGTTAGTTTTTTGTCATTTCGAAGTGGCCTATTACATTAGCCATGTTTATTGAAGGCTAGAAACGTTGTTGTTATGCTCACCTGTTAATCAATAAAAGCAATACCAGTTCTGTTAAAAAAATTTTGTTGCATCGTCTTTCCACCAAATAACAGAAAAGTATCGATAGTGGTATCGATAAAGACTCGGATCGATAAGGAGTATCGATAAAGGTATCAATATCAATAAATATTAACGATCCCCATCCCTAATCTGTGTATAGATAAAGATAAGAAAACTTTTTCTTTTTTAGGATCGCGGTGACAAGGTATTTTTCCAAGAAAAGAAAAAAACTTTACAAAAAGAAGAAAACAGTTTTAGTATTTAGACTTTAAGCTGAAAGGAATGAAGAAACGTGGACATTTATCCTCCCTAAATTTTGTGAATTTCTTTTTTTAAACATAGATGAGAGAAATATTTTTAATTTTAGATCTTGGCCTTCCTATGTCTGTTTTTAAATGTTGTTTAAGGTGCAAAATGTTTTGAATACTTTTTGTTTTCTTTTTTTTCAGTTTAACATTATAATGAATCATTCTATATCTTTTTTTTGTTCCTTTTTTTGCTCCTGTTAGTCGTGAACTTGGCACCAGCAGCATCACCTTCACAAACAGGGAACCGGCCTCAGCCCCACACCAGCCTATGGCTCCCCCCACTGGACCCTTAGCTTATGGCGGAGGAGCAGAAGGGAGGAAGAGGAGGAGTCCCAGCTCCTATAAAGGGAAAGCCAGCAAACTGAGCCGACCAGGCGGACTAGAAAGCCTCTTTGGTGAAGGAAACGACGGTGGGGGGATCTTGGCGTTGGGGCACGAGTCGCCCAGACAGGTGGGTGCTTGTTAGGCTGTATGACCTGATGCTACAGTTATTGGTTTAGTTTATTATTGAAGCTCAGGTGAATGACGAGTTTGTGTCTGTTTCTGCAGGCCAAGTTAAATCACTGACAGAAACCCGTTTGAAGGGCAGAACCTTTGGGCAGCTGTTCAGGCCACCACCATTTGTGACCTTTGACTTCACTCTTCCACTGACCGCACCAATCAGGCCGTTTCATCTCACATGGCTCCTGTTTATCCAAGGATACAGGATCCATTCCTCCACTCCTTCCCCCTCAGCTTGGATCCTTTCGTCCGGAAACTTGATGTGCCTCACTATGGTTGGGGTTTATAGGAACACGTTTTCTTAAAAAACATTGCAAAGGGAATATGCTAACATTAACACCACCACTGTAGAATTTATGGAGAACCCTGAAAAGAGGTGTGTGATTGTTTTCCATCAGACAGAACTACTGTGCCGCTTTGCTGCCCCCACGGACCTTTTCTATTCCCCCTCTCCGTCGTTTGGCTCCGTTTTAGTCTACGAGGAGAGTGATCGCAGCACATTTACCTGGGTTTTAGCCTGTTCTTGCCCCTTTCTTTGTCCACCTCCCTACATTTCCATTTCTGTCCCAGCATGCCTGTGTTCGAAGTGCACTTACTGTCCTGAGCTCCTTGCTGACTCCTTCTGCAACTGTGACATGAAAAAGTCGTGCTCGCACAAAGAGGAGGGGATGGAAGAATCCGTGTTACCAATGATGCCACGTCGATGCGTTGTATTTCAATATAGGATAAAATCTGACTTTATTCAGATCCTTTTTTTTTTTATCTTTCTGGTTTTGATGTTGAAAGAAACAAAAATTCCAGGATAAGCATCCAAAATGGAATTATTACTCTGGTGTTGGATTGCTTCGTTTTATTTTTGTTTTTTTTTGTATAATAATTTATCATTCTTAAATAATGTTTGTTATGGAAGTGACCATTAAGGTTTGAGCTACAGAGACTTTTTCAATATAAAAGATGATAGAATTTCTATGGCATTTTGAAGAAATGTTAAAAGTATTATAGTTCATATTTGTACATATCTGTTGGTATTTTTGTATTTATTAATATTTTTTTTCCCCTTTTACTAAATGAAAACAGAGATATTAACTATTTTACCCCATGCTATCGTAGTCTAACAGTAATAAAGCGATTGGCCTGGTGTCTCACCAAAAAAAAAAAGTTAGATATATTATTTTTCATTTTTTATTCTTCTCCCAGTAGCAATTAAATGCAAATTAATGGGCACAGCCAGGTTCAAATGTTTGGTAGCTGCTGCTTTTTGTATTTTATTTTAATGTAGTTGCTTTTCAAGCTGGAAACAATAAGAGTTTAATTTAAAGAGAAGTTGCATTAAAATTCAAATGGTAAGTAGACTGAATTTATAAAGCACTTGGCCAGGAGCGCGTCCTAATGTGAGGAAGCTGGAATCAAACCACTTATCCAGCACCTAGATTATGTTGCCGTTCACTTTTCTTTATGCAATCAAATCTCAACCTTTATACTTATTGGCTTCCAGGCTGAAGGTGTGTAAAAAGTCTTAAAATATTAATAAGCTGATTTTGCAGAAGCCTACTCAAGATGAAGTTAAACGAACCAGACGTGGTTTGAATATCTTTATTCAATAGGAATTGAAAATTCCTGTAGTAATTCTGTTAATCTATATGTGGTTTGCTTTTCTTTTAAGTTCAAACCTACCTAGATAAACCTTTTTTCAGGAATTCGTGACCTTCTGGGGGTTTTTTCTTTGCATTTACCGGTAAGTAAAGCAATTTTTTTTTTTTTTTTGAGTAAGTTGTTGATTAAAATGCCTGCCTATACAAACCTCCTCGTATCTTCCGTCAGAAACCATTAGAACTGGCATAAACTAGGCTGGATTAAAATACTCCAAAGCTCTAATCTGGCATCCTGCGGTTGCCTGGTTTCCACGACAACCAGTGTTTGATATCTAAATGAGAGCATTCTGTCCCATTATTATTTTGCAATCACTCAGCGTGGATCTGCTATAACATGAAAGACAAATATAAAAAAAAAAAGCAGTTAAAGCCCACTATTCAGTACAGTGGAGGGTTCATCATGCTGTGGGCGTGTTCCTCTTCTAAATGCACAAGATTATACAGCTGCTCCAAACCTTTTATATATTACAAATGAAAACAAAGGAATGTCCTGGTAGCAAAACTTTTAGATCACCAATAATTTCTCTCCGAAGTATTTTTTCCTCTGCTGTATAAATTAATGCAAAGTGATGATTTTTCTAAAAGTGTCACTATATGTTTGTCTAAATAATCTGAATTTATTCTAAGGCTTTTTCCATATTAATACCGGGATTGCTTACAAGTGTGATGCTAAAACTGTTAAATTCAAGGTATCATTCTCATGCAGTGTCTAAACTTCAAACTACAGAATAAATATATGCAGAAAAAAATACCTGCACTAGGGAAGCTAAGCGCTATCGCATGTTTTTATTCACCCTTGCTGATTTTTACAGGCTTCAATGACTACTTTGATAAGAAAATATGCCACATTCAGACCCCTTGCAAGCATAATGCAATGTTTTGTCAATTAAATATTGCTAATGGGGACTCATTATCTAAATTTGGCATTTTTTAAAATGTTTTTCTTAAAATATATATATATATTTTTTGTATAAACAGCGCAAAATGTTCTGCTTGCTTTTCCATCCATACTTTTCCTCCAAAAGTTAAAGACTACCGCTTTATTTTTATATTTCGTTATCTTCAGAGGCCCGATGGTCTAGTCTCAGTGTGATTATGTGGGTTGTGGTGATATGTCAAGTCAAAACTGGGTCAAAATGCTTTCACTTACTTCAGCTAGGTATGTTTTTTTTTTCCTTCTGATCACTACACCGTGTGCTAGAACCGCAGCGCAGCCATTCCTCCGAGTTTTTACCTTTTTAAAATATGCATAAGATCTGCGTCTGGTGGCAAATTTTACAGCCGAAATATCGGACGGTTGGGGTTTAAATTAAATGTAGGAAGTGCAGTCGGAACTTCAGTACCATTGTTTTATTGAAATGTAGAGGAAAAATATCTTTGGTTTAAAATTAGATTAATAAAATCTAGTTTGATTACCTGGTTTAAAGTGGAGCAATATATTTTTTTATGGCCTCGGTTAGTGTGATCAGTACCCCGCCCACTCCTGTTGAACCCCTGATAATAGGAAAGTAACTGAAAGCATTTTGTTTAACCTAAAAGCAGACAGGGACTCCTCTAACCCTTAGTGCAGCAACTAACTTTGTGTTTAAGAACTAATTTGATATGAATCATATAAAATTAGATCTGAATTGTTCTTCCGCTGTTGACACTTTTCAACTGCCTACCCTTTATTTCACAGCACTTTTTTATTAAAAAATAAAAGATTTGTGGAATACATCCCATTTTTCCTGTAGTTATGAGCTGACACTGGAAAAAAAGGAAGAAATAAAAGCCCACAGCATTACAGATCCTCCACCATGCTTAACAGGATGAGGTGCTTTTTCCCCATCTTTGTTTCCAATCTTTTTGGAATGGAGGCCCATACCTCTCTCTTTATATTTCAGAATGTTACTTGAAATATGGGTTACTTCCTAACTTTAAAATGCTCTCTCAATGCAAACTATATTGTTTGAGAGATTTGCCATCGCAAACGGAAATATTTAGTTTTTTCTAAGGATAGAAAAACTTCTCCACTTTTCACAATCTAACAGTTCATGTTGGATTGCTCTGAAAGAAGGGAGGAATATATGGAAGAACACTTAATGCTTGCTATAAAGCACAGTAGAGGAGGTGTGATGCTGTGTGCCTGGTTTTGGTTTTGTTTGTGTTTTCATTTGAATGCGAGGAAGTTTTCAATCAAATTCTGCTGGTTTTTAAAGATTGGGATTTCAAATCTGCAGTTTTCCTCAGAAAATATTTTTTTATACACCTTCACTTGTGATGCCAATAATTTAAGAGGGTGCTAAAGCTTCTTGGATTATGTTATTGAGCCCATGCAGTGTTTTGCGGAGGTAATCAATAGCTAAAGCTGAAGGTCTACCATGTTTACAAGAACGATGGTTAATTTGCAGCATGTTTTCAACTGCTTTTCCATTTTCTGGCTGTAAAAAGATGGAATTATCGGTTCAAAATGTGGGACACCTTCATGAGGGTTAAAAATAAATATAGTTTTTTTCTTTTCGAAGGCAACCAGATTCGCTGTTAATACAGATGTAGAAAGTTACAGTTTTACTTGCAGCTAAAGTTAAAAGAAAGTTTATATAAGAGTGTTTCATTTTGTTGGACTTTTTATGTTTTTTTTGCACTTTCTTAAATTACATAGATCTGTAATCCTCTTTAATTATATGATCATAAAAAAAAACAAGTATCTGAAAATTACATCAGATGTATTTGCGACCTGCGTCCCAAACCCCCTCAAAACCAAGACACTGTCGTATCCCGATCCAAACTGTGGCGAATGTTTAATTTCTGGAGAAAAAAATGCATTTTTTTTTTTTCCACAGACAAACCAATGTTAATAAATACTGTAAAATGTCTTATATCCAAGCTTTTATTAAAATATTGAAAGAGAGGTGGTCTTATTTGTAAATTAAATATGCAGCGTTTAAATTCTAGTGAGCTGCTGTTGAATGTCTGTTTTGTATACCTTACTTGTTGATGCAGTGATCTGTCGAATGTTTTCATTTTTCAAATATAATGAAAAGCAAAAGTAAAGTGTTTCAACTAAGAAGCTTTGATTTTTTTTGCAGTTTGTATACCATAACTTTGACAGCATACATCTGTAATGACAGTTTTCAGTGAAAAATATAAAACTGAAACAATTTCCTGTTCAGGGGTATTTCTTCTATGTTGCTGTATTTGTGATTGTTTTTTCTTTCTTCTTCTACACTAAGTTTGCACACAATCTTATACAATTCAGTTTATTTATATAGCGCCATTTCACAACATATATAATCTCAAGGCACTTTACAGAGAAAAATTCAACCAGATCATCTCGTCTAATTGATACAAAGTTTTCTGTCTAATGAAAAGCGGTTTATTGAATTGACTTATAGACTTAAAAGCAATCCCTCACACCAAGCATGCTTGTAGCGACAGTGGAGAGGAAAAATTCCCTTTTAACAGGAAGAAACCTCCAGCAGAATCAGGCTCAGTGTGAGCGGCCATCTGCCGAGGCTACTGGGGTTCAAGGAGACAGAAGCAGACAGAAAAAGAAGCAGAGATACAAAGGACAACTGTAAATCAGCTCCATAGGCGGCCCCGTCCAGAAAACAAACAGCCAGGGACATGAGCTTCGAATCAGCTCCCATGTAAAAGGATGAAGAGAGCACAAACGGTCACAGTCAGAGAAACAGGATTAATCTATTAAAAAAAAGGCCAAACTCAAACATATATAAAGAAAGGTGTTGATATCAGCAGCACAGCTGATATTTCTCTCCAGGATGGTGTCACGGCCAAACAGGGACAGACCAGACCATTAGAGATTAAACTAATAAATTCTGCAGAATGAGAGAATAGAGATAGAATGATGAAAAGGGGCCCCTTTGTCCTCTAGCAGTCTAAGCATATAGCAGCATAACTATAGAGAATGCTCAGGATAATCTGAGCGACGATATCAGCTTTATCAGTAATTAAGCCTACCCTTAAAAGTAGACGACTAAAACGGGTAGTTAGTTCCACCGGAGAGGAGCCTGATAACTAAAAGTTCTGCTTCCCATTCTAATTTTAGAAATTCTAGGAACCACTAGTAGACCTGCAGATTCTAGTTATTAAAAAGAGTAAATATACAAATTGAATTATAACAGGAATATATATATTTTTTTAGTTTAGAAAAAGCCATTGCAAGAAAATTTCTAATCTCATGAATCCTGAATAATATTTTCCATAATGCACAACTTAATTTCGATGTACCACAAAAAAAAAAATCCCATTAAAAAGATAGCTTTTTTTTAAGGTTGAAATCTGGAAAAATCTATAATTGATGAAAGAATAATCTTTATTGATTGCCGTTTAGTTGTAAAGAGAGCCCTATTTTTGCTTTAGCAATTGAGTCTCTATTCCGCATAGTTTTTTTTTTTTTTTTTTAAACCACATCCTCCTCCATTAACAGAAAAGTCTTCTGCTGAAGTTGGAAATAAGATCTCGGGGCTGTGACTCAGAAGCCTGCTATACTCTGCAACATTTACTTGCCGGGTCAAGGCCCATTTTAAAAGCAGAAATCACAAAAGCACAGTTGTTTTTAAACGACATTTCTTT